GCAAATTTCGTTGGTGGTCAAATATTCCCCACTTCAGCCAAACTCGAAGATAATCCTGCATCCTACTCATCGCAAACTCTTTAGCACTGCTGAGTCGTGACCCGCATAAATGGTCCTCATGGGTGACGGTAGAAGCAATGGGTGGTGTGTTCTTGTGTGCCTAAGTTATCACCGACTGAAATTGAACATGCTATGGTTAAGCCGTCGTTCTATAAGAGAATTTGAAAATTAACAAGGACACTGCGCGTGTTAGACATCTAGCAGTGGGACGATTTGATCGATTTGACGAAGTAACATGCAATCCATTCCATTGATCACTCTTCTTGGTACTACAAATCCACATAAGATCAATGGAATGCCGAATCGTTGCATGTTTCACTCTTTGTGACATAAATAAATCACTCTACTGGCGTTGAGGGAGAAACACTCATTGACACAAGACCCTGCTGCTTCCTCTGAAGACTTTGCTCCATCTCTCAATTTTGATGAATGCTTATTCTACATAGATTGGTCAGTTCAGTCTTTTGCTGTTGAGAACGCCCTGATTCTGACTTACGCACATTTCTCTGAGAGGAATATGGTACAAATTTATAATTATACAAATTTTATTCGACACCTCCACTCTAATTGCGCGCCGCCTCATGTCGGCCTTCCGCAAGGCTGTGGACATTAATCCTGATTTGGCAATCCGAGATGGAAGCACTATAATATTTATTAAGCCATAAATGATATTACATAAGCATGGGAAAAGGTTATATACATTTAAGATCCATTTCGTACGGATCGAAGCGAAATGGTTCCCCTTAGGCTACTAGAAGCAAGGAAGGGTGCAATGCTGCGATATTTCCTAACGTAACATTTTCATCTATCTTACGTCACCGTAGTATCGGTGTAAAGTATGAAACGAATTTTTGTTTCTTTACATTGTACATTTCCTCCGTTTCAACCCGGTATACATATACGTTAAACATTATGCATCGACAGCGACGTGGAAGACTGTACTCATGGAGTCTCCGCCAGGACATCGGGGTTTTGTTTTCCTTTTTGGCCTACGCACCGAGAGGTACATTTAATTGTCCTTATTTAACCATATTCTGGTACTTCAAAAACCGTATAAAAAATGGTTTATTTAAATGACATAACGCATATAATGGCTCAGTGAATTAATTAACAAGTATAGACTTTTCGGCTCATGTCTCAACGTGGACAAGATTGATTCACGAAGTTCATTCTGTACTTTACAGTCGTTTTAGCGTTTGGAGCCAAAAATGAACCACGTAACGAACATTAGTTGCGGGCAATAGAAACGGCTGCAAAAATAAATACTGTCTCTTGTGAAAAAGCGCCACTGCTGGCTAATTACCCAACTGCCTGATTTATCAAGATTATTTATGCATAAACCCTGTTTTTACACCGTCTTCGGTTTGATCACCAACGATCGTTCTATATGTTCCATTACCTTGCATTAATCATGACATATTAATTCTTAATTTTCGTGCATCCTGTGAAATAAACTGACAGAAATTGCCTTAGAAACACGTTTAATGCATTACTTTAAACCTATAAGAAATAGGGTGCAATTAACGAATGGAGGGGGGGGCAGGTTAAATCTGACTTATGCAAAATTCGTTGTACGTAATGTTATGCGGAATTTAACTCCTGTATAATTTGGGATTGGTCTTCACCGCTGTTGAATAATGGCTAATGAGCCAGAGCTATACTTGTTTAGTACAGAACAGCGGAAGATTCAAACATCTTCGAGCTTGACGCGGG